GTAGGCGTATTGGGACGGCCAAGGATGCATTCCAAAAGTATGTATTTCAGAGTATTGCGAGACAGGAGGATTTCTTTGGTAACAAAGAAAAGAATACTGAGCTTTTACGTGACGTCTGTCCTTTACAGCGAATGGACGATTTCCTCAAAGATGAAGAAGAGATTCGAGGCGACTGAGATGTGGATGCTAAGGATATCATGGACCGAGCGTGTGAGCAACAATGTGGTCTTTGGTTGCAAACAAGGAGGGGGCTTATACTTAACATCAGAAAGAGGCAGCTGAAGTTTCTGAGACACATAATGAGGAAGGAGGGCCTGGAGAATCTGATACTCACGGGTCGAATAAAGGGAAAGGGAGACAAGGGAAAACAACGCGTGGCATATCTGGCGGGCTTAAGCAATTGAATGACAGAACGTGGTCTTGGGGGGGGAGCAGAGAGAAGGAACTTGTTAAGAGCTGCAAAGGATACGGTGAAATACAGAGCCATGGTCGCCTACATCCTGAAAGGACATATCATATAAAAAGAAAGAAAGAAAAGAAATATTTGTTTGTAAATCATGTAGAAAATATATTTGTAGATCGAACAAACATAAAAAAAAAATAGCCCGCACCCGTTGACCTTTATAATTTAGGCTTGTGTCTCTCTCCACATCTCTACCCCCTCCGCGCACGCATTCAAATTCTCTCCTCGGTCGACTTAACCGGATTTTCATTGTTTATATTCACCGTCACTGAAGGTTACTCTGTATTAATATTGACAAAAAATTATCTCACCTATAGCAATGGCGCATTAGTGCTCTTGAAAGTACTCATCCTGGGGCCTCATACACTTATCCTAACGTCCTATCTATTTGTTACAACTGTCAACCGTAACATCCCCTTTCAGGATCTCCATCAGCTGTCTTATTCTTTTTAATCTTTTTTATACTATAATTCCCTTAATACAAGAGCCACTCATGGTAGAGTATTATTGAATTAGGTTTTTGTATCGGTGCAACAGTAGAAAATAACAAGTGCAAACTATGAGGATATGTAGGATAGATAACGGTTGACCCTAGGTTTGATTTGGTTAAGATTGTAGTCATGAAGAAAGTATGTTCTCGGGAGAATGTTCCAGAAAGTAACAATTCTTAGGAAGAAGCTGAGTGTAACGTCCGCCTTACTAATTGAATACGAAGAAAATGAGGACGATTCGACTCTGTGTATGTAGCATGACGAGTTATGGTTTGAAAGGTGAGGTGTGATTTTTAGTAGCTGCATTTAACCAAAATTTGTTCACATTTTTATCAGGTTCATATCGACTGACAATAAGAATTTGTATAGTTTATCAGTTAGTTAAGTGATACATACTTGGGCGATCATGTCTGTTTCGATTCATGACTGACTAGGCAGAAGATTTTCCCGCAGTAGGTTGCCAACCAAGGCTATAGGACCCATTCTGTCCTGTTATTCAAATCATAGCCGAAGAAAGAAGAGATAAAGCCAGTAAAGTGCCATCACGTGATACACACTTGGGCGATTATGTCTCTTTCGATTCATGACTGACTAGGCAGAAGATTTTCCCTCAGTAGGTTGCCATTTCTTTCTGCGGTAGACTTGTAGCTAACCAAGGCTATAGGACCCATTCTGTCCTGTTATTCAAATCATAGCCGAGGGAAGAAGAGATAAAGCCAGTAAAGTGCCATCACGTGATACACACTTGGGCGATCATGTCTCTTTCGATTCATGACTGACTAGGCAGAAGATATTCCCGCAGTAGGTTGCTATTTCTTTCCGCGGTATAGTTTATATGATGTTTTAAATCACAACGTATGTATTGAATCGATTGCTAGCTCAGCTGCCAAGAAAGTCGGTTCACTCTGTCGTAGGAAGTAATTTTTCTCTCCATCTTACATATTTATAAATCTACCATTCGTTCATGCTTAGAATATTGCTGACACACATGGTCCGGTGCCCCTGCTATTTTTCTGGAGCTCCTTGATAAGATCCAAAGAAGAATCAGCAATATTATTGGTCCTGATCTGGTGGATCAGAAAAAATTCCTCAGAAAATGCCGATCACACGATAAATCCTAGTGACATCATAATAAAAACTGCCAAACATTATTTACATTATTCGGACTATTGTCCTCATCTTTGTCGCCATATTTATCACAACGTTTCAAGGACACATGGCACAGTGGATAAAGGCGTTGGTTAGATCCAGTGACAGGACCCAAAAAGTGTGAGTTCAATACCCGGTTAAGGCAGTGGAGAACTTTCAGAGGGAAATTAACAGGAGATAACTGATAACTGACATCCATTAAACATGGCGCGTGGAACTAGAACAGTCTACCCCAGTGAGCGAAATAAAGGGTTCAGTTCGACATTCCAACCACCTGAAGAAGGCCGGAGCGTGCAACGGCCGAAACGTTGTGATAAATATGGCGACAAAGATGAAGACAATAGTCCGAATAATGTAAATAATGTACATAATGCTTCATCTCAGAAATAAAGACAGA